GCGCGCGTGCGCGTCTGTCTGTCTGTCTGTCTGTCTGCGTGTCTGTCTGTCTATGCGCATGTCTGTCTGTCTGTCCGGCTCAAGGCCGCGATCCGCGCCGCGCCCCCGTGCCGCGCCAGATGCTCCGGGGCGGGCAGCTGGACTCGGGCGGAAGTCGAATCGATCGGGGGCGACGGGGTCTCGCGGCCCTCGCGACTACGAGCAGGCGCTTGGGCGGCGAGCGCCCGGTCGCAGACCGCCCGACCCGCGAGCTGCAGGCAGCGCGCGCTGGTCTTCGGCACCGGCGAGCCCCGGCTTAGAGCGCGGGCGGCGAGGGCGCGCTCGCGTTGGACATGCGCGTCGCGCCGCCAGGAGGAGCTGCCCGCTGGCGTCGAGTTCCAGCCCGTCGGCACCACCAGCGCGGAGGACATCGAGGCGGCGAGGGCGAGGACGAGGGGGCAGCAGGAACAAGAGGAGGGACGCCTTGCAAGATTCGGCGCCCGACCCGCGGCAACTGGCGCCGCCGCGCGGGCCGCGGCCGCGGCCGGGCCTGCGGCCAGGCCAGCGTCTTCCTTATGCCTGGCGCGGGACGACCTCAGACCTCCAGGCCCAGACTGGCGGGGCGCACTGTCGCGGGACGACGCCTTGAAGATGGGAGCGACTACGCTCGTCCAAGTCCCAGATCGTTTCCGGGGGGGCGCGGCGCAAAGCACTGGGGGCTTTCATAGCAGCCCGACAGAACGGAGAGGCAGAGGCCGGGTGGGAAGTCTTTGCGCCGATGGGCACGTTGCTCCTGGCCAGGGCCAGCGAGGCCACCGCGCGCGCCGAACTGCTCGAGGAACGTTTCGCCTGGTTGTGGGGCGAGCAGCGGGCGGCGCCGCGGGCATCTGCGCGCGCTGGCCGCCAGGCCCCGCAACGCGCCCCGACGCGGACGGACATGCGGGGGGCGGCAAGAGTGCACGCCCCCGCGGCTGCAGGCGAAGAGGGCCGGGCGCTCGCAGCAGCCGCGAGCGCGCAGCGCCGCGAGCGCGCGGGTCGCCCCCCCGCGCCGAAGATACGCTGCTGAAGGTCACGGACTGCTTCCCGCCAGCGGCCGCAGGGGGGCAGCTGGGCCACCGCACCTCGACGAGGATCTGCTCCAAGCGGAGAGAAGACCGAAGTCCGCCGCCTCTCGCGGCGGCAAGAGCGGCCCACGGCACCTGGACTCTTCGGCGCCAGACTCGAGCACCCGGCCACGGCGAGCGCTCGCGAAGACGCCCTCGAGCTGCTTACGGAGGCCGTCTCCTGGATCGCCGTCGGCCCCCCCCCCCCCCGCGCGGCGCCCCCCAGGCGCCGCGGGTGGGTGAGCTGGCCACTTTCAAGGGGGGGCGACGACGAGGTCCAGCCGCTCGTCGTTGGCCCAGTCCCGCGGCGCCTCGGGGCGCGCGCTCTGGCCCGCGCGCGGAAAGATCAGCGCGCGGCGGCGGCCGGGCAGCAGCAGCGCGGCGTCGGCAGAAGGCAAGGGGCCGATCTGCTGCTCAGGAGCCTCGAGGCGCAAGCGCGGGAGAGGCGCGCCGCCGTCTTCCCCGAGCTGGACTTGAAAGCTGCCTTCCAGACGATGGAGAGTGAGCCAGCCAGTCGCGCGATGGCCGAGAAGGAGCCCGCCGCCGCGGCGGCCCTCGCCGCACGGCATCAGGGCGAGGCCGCCCGTCTCTGGCGCAACGCAGGAGGCGCCTTGCGCAAGGCCCCCAGCAGCCGAAGCTTCGACCAGGGGCGCCCGCTTTCAGCAGCCGCCTACTCGGCGGCGCAGAGCGCCGCGCTGGCCGACCACTACTCCGAGCTGCGCCGCTTTGACCCCGCCGCCCGCCTCTACCCCTACTACGACGACGCCTACCTCTTCGTCGAGGCTGGCCCAGCGGTGGACGCGCTGGCTGCGCTGGAGAGAGCCCTTGCGCCGTGGGGGCTGCGCCTGAACGCAGCGAAGACGACGGCTTGGTCCCCTGCTGGGATCGCCGTGCCGCCGCCGCCCCCGCGGCGCCACTGCGCGGCCCCCCTCTCGGCGCTCGGCAAGCGCCTGCAGCCGCGCGGCGACGCGGAGGACAGCGCGGCGGCCCTCGGAACACCAGCCAACAGCCTCGCGCGGGCCGCTGACCGCACGCGCGAGCTCTGGGACACCCTGCAGCGTTACCAGAAGGCGGGGCTGACGAAGCAAGCCACAGGGGCCCTGCTGCGCACCTAAGCGGGGGCCGCAAGCCAGCCCGCGCTCAGGCTGGAGCACGCTACGGACGCCGCCGCCGCCTACGACGCCTTCCTGACGAACTGCTGAGAGACGCTGCTGCAGCGAGACTTCGACGAGAACGCAAAACAAATGTTGGGGCTGCCTGCGAAGCTCGGCGGGCTGGGCGCGCCCGCACGGCCTTCCTGGCCTCCCGGGCAGGCGCGGCGGCCGAAGTCACGCGGGACCTCGGCAGCACCACGCTGGCGGACTGCCTCGACATGCCCCCAGACACGACGAGCAAGTTGGAGGCGAACAGCGCGTCACTGAATGGGACACGCAGCCGCCAGGCTGGGAAACGGAGCGCTCGGTGCTCGACCTAAGAGTACCGGACGACGACGGGCGGCGCTGGCTCGACGTCGCGGTCCGGCACCTGGCCGCGGGAACACAGGCCGAAGTCCAAGTGGCAGCTCGCCGAGATGGCGAGGCCAGCACGAGGGGAGAACACGACAAGACATCGCGTTACCCAGGCGAGCGCCTGGCCCCCTTCGTCCTGGAGGTCGGAGGGAGACTGGGCGCAGAGGCCCTCTTGGCTGAAGGCCGAAGTGAACAGGCAGGACGAGCAAGAACAGGAGCGCGAGCTAGCACGCGCCCACCGGGTGCTCAGCTGCGGGCTGCAGAGCGAACTCGCACGCCAGCTGCGCTCCTCGGCGGGCCTCCGCTGAGGCGCCAGCGGCGAGCGGCGCGCAGCGGCGCAAAAGACAACGGCCCCGCACGCCGCCGCGGGCTTCTGGCGACAACGCCCGAAGCCACCGCGCTGCGGGCGCCGCAGCGCCAGCCACAACGGCGCCAGAAGCTGCAGCGCAGGCGGCGAGCCAACACGGGCTCCTCGCCGCTGGGCTTGCGAGCAGGCTCGGGGCGGCGCGGGCTACGCGACGGCCGCTGGCCAGGGCGCGCGCTGCCGGGAGGCGAAGCGCGCGGCGGGTTTCCCGCGAGCCAGCGCGGAGGGGCTTGCATGGGCGGCGCGGCGCAGAGAGCGGCGGGCCTGCCTGGCGCGCAGAGCAGCGCGACGGGGCGCGGCGGGCCTTCTGCCGGGCAGCCTCGCTCTTCCCCTTCCTCTTCTCCCTCCGCCTTTCGGCCCCAGAAAGCGGCGCGGTCCTCCGCGTCAGGGCCCTCGTCCCCCAGGCGCGGCTGGGGCTCGCCCTCGAGGCGTGGCTGGGGGGCGCCCCAGCGACGTGGGAGCCCGATCTGTCTGTCTGTCTGTCTGTCTGTTTGTCTGTCTGTCTGTCTCTGTCTGTCTGTCAAGATGTCTCTGTCTGACTGTCTGTCTGTCTGTCATTATGTTTGTCTGTCTGTCTGTCTGTCTGTCTGTCTGTCTGTCTGTCTGTCTGTCTGTCTGTCTGTCTGTCTGTCTGTCTGTCTGTCTGTCTGTCTGTCTGTCTGTCTGTCTGTGTATGTGTGTGTGTGTGCGTGCGTGTGTGCGTTTGTGCGTGTGTGTGTGTTGTGTGTTGTGTGTTGTGTGTTGCGTGTGTGCATGATTTGGGGGTTGTGTGTTGTGTGTTGTGTATATGTGTGCGCGTGCGCGTGCGTGCGTGTGTGCGTGTGCGTGTGCGTGTGCGTCCGTGCGTGTGTGTGTGCGTGTGTGTGCGTGTTTGTCTGTGTGTTTGTGTGTCTGTGTGTGTGCGTCGTGTGTGTGTGTGTGTGCGTGTGTGTATGTGTGTGTGGGGTGGGGGGGGGACCGTCGGTCTGACCCCCAATCGGCACACGTTCGATGGTACTCACTGTCAGCGCGAACCGCCCTTGCTCTCGCTACGTTGGACCAGTCGGTCGCGAAGGGGAAAAGTGTGCGCGTGCGGGGGCGAGTCAGCTCCATCTGGCTGTTCTTTGGCCGGGCGTCTCGCGGCGCTGGGAGCGGCCGTGCTTGGAGGAAAGCCCCAGCCGCACGCACACCTTCCGTGCCATCTCCGTATCTTGCCCCCCTCTCTCGTGCACCCCAACCCACAGGCTCGGCGCCACGAACAGAGACTCGAGACGGCAGCTCTGTGCTCCAGCTGGGCCTCTGCAGCCCTGTGCGCCAAGCCTCGAGGCCGCATGCGCTCGGGGTTATTATGACGACCAGGTGTGCGTGCGTGCTGTACCCGAAGGTACTAAATTGCACGTGACTCATCCGCATCCTGATCGTTCAATCGGGCATGTCCTCCTACAGGCGAAGTTTGGAAGAGAAGTGAACAGTGGTCAAAAAATATTCAAGGATAGCCGAAAGAGCAAAAGAAATCGTCGCCCGACTATTTGTCTACCATTCTTGAGCATTCCTCCAATAGGGAGACGACACGCCCGGCTGAACCTAATATTCTCCGCCACCCAAAGTAATACACCGTCCCGCCCAGTGTCCGCAGAGCCACGCGATCGTGCACACGGAGCGGCGCAAGGCAACATTGCATCCTGCACTTCGCATGCCGGCCTGCTGCGATTCCGTCCGCGCGTGCTCGAGCTGCTCGATGATGTCTTGTGTTGGCTATGGATACGAATGCGTTCGGCATCGGGATATCATCAGTGTGCATGCCCTCTACTTTCAAGGTCTGTGGAGTGCCTCAGGGAGTGCTCGGCGAGATGCGTATGTATTCGGTCATGGGTATCGGTTCGCCTTTGGACTGGGGAATACGTTTGATGATGAATATTCTAATTCGCCTGCGAAAACGTATACATGTGGCCATGGGTTCGTTTCTGGGCATGTCCATGGGCATGCTGCTGGTATGAGTATTCAAGGAAGCAGCTATGGGTACTCCTCTCCCCCTTTCCCAACGCGACCCTCGTGGCTGACGGGGTCCTGCTCTGCGCGGGCTCCGAGGCTGCGAGTCCGTCGAAGAGCAGCCGCAGCTCCTTGGCCTGCAGCCTGCCGCAGAACTCAAGGAGCTCGGGGTCCTGCGGCGCGGCAGGGGGGGCGACCGCTGCTTTGTGTTTGCGTGAGGAGGATGAGGAGGAGGAGGACGACGAGGAAGAGGAAGGGGAGAATGATGAAGAGGAGGAGGAGGAGCAGGAAGAGGAGAATCCGTTCTCTGCCGTCAGACAGCGTGCACGCTGCATCGACAATCTCGAGCCACCCCGCTTCGCTTCGCGCCCTCGCGAGGCCACCCTGCAGAAGGCTAACTCTGCGTCCCGGGCCTCGGAGCAACGCCATCTTCCTGTCACCTTGGATGCAGAGCAGAAGCTTAACCCTCATAACAAGCACCCCAACAAGCGAAGCAATTTAGTAAGCGCGCCCAAGGAAAGAATCGAACAGGGAACGGATGTTTAACAAACACCCAAGCCGTGTAGTACACGCCGATTATCGGGGTCGGGGTGCTTGTGGCCTCCCTTGGTTGGAGGACTACGCATACCAACCTCCAACGCGGGTGCTGCGAAAAGACAGATCACATCCATGTACGGACTTCCTGCCCTCGAAGCGCATGCCCTTTGCTCGAATCCAAACGCGCGCTCACCCAACTGGCCCCCGAATCCTCCCTCGAATCATCCACGACCAAGAACGAATTGCTTCAATCTCCACGCGTTGAGTTTCTGCCCGGGTTTTGTCCACGCGTTCTTCTCCAAGTTTCCGACGCATCGTGCCCCTCCGAAACGCAGCGCGCGCACTTCGTACTGGTATGGAGCTCAAGCTCCCATTATCGCGATGAGTCCTGCTGATGGAAATACGCGAACGAAGACTAGTTCTACGCTACGCAACTTAAATCTGCCTGTGTGCCACTTGCATTACTGCCCTTTAGCCGTCTCATCTGGGGCGGACGGTAGTCTGAGCGCTCGACGCATCATCGCCGCCCAGATCGCTCCACGGTTGAGAGAAAAGGATCGGTGGCGCTCAGCGCTCCCACTCTGCACAACAGAGCCAGGGTAATTATCATAGATCATGGCGCATGCGCTTGGAAATCAAGGTCGCTCTGCACGTGAATAACCTCGGATAGCGGGCAAGTTGTTCAGGTGCGCGCAGAGATCGACAGACGCATTACAACTTGAACGCAAATGTTACACATGGCGTCGTGCTAGCATGGTTGCAAGTATACCCGTGCAATCAGAACAGATCCGCTGACCGATGCCAACTACCGCTCAGCTCGGTCACAAGCTCCTGACCGTCCAGAGCACATCGCCTTCAGTGGCCGAGCCCCCACGATCCCTTCACCAGTCCGACAGCAAGCTCCGCATCCTTCAATCAGTGCTGCCTCGCAGACACCTGAGTAAGGCCACTCGGGGAGGTGGGGCAGTAGCCAGAAGCTGCCTGCGAAGAGCATAAGATGTGGCCTGTCGCCCAAGCGGAGAGCCGTCTTGTGCGCTGAGCTCCCCCTCCCCCACTGCCTCACCTGCGTGCTGCCTGCTGTGCCTGGCATTCGTGTGCCCCGACCCGCCCTGGCCGCTGCTACGTCCTCGTCCTCCAGCGCGTCTGCGCAGAGCTGGTTGAAGCCCTTCGGGCTCCACCTCGCGCTCGTGCTCCTCGGGGAGAATGGGATGGGACTGGACTCCGCCTTGACGCTCGTATGCATCCAGAGAGCGTGCCCCGCCCCCCCCCCCGAGGAGGGAAACAAGCCCATGATGTCCGATGGTCAACCACACACCACTCGCGCGAATCACGGACACAACTCCGCATCCCCCGAGGAACCGGCCTCCAGCTCGTTCCTCCTCCTCCTCCTCCTCCGCCTCCTCCTCCTCCTCCTCCTCCCCGCTCCCACAAATCCTTCTCCCCTTCCTCTTCCTGATCTTCTTCCTTTTGTGCCTCCTCCTCCTCCTCCTCTCGTGCCTTCTTCTCCTCCCCCTCCTTCCCCTCGCGTCCACGGTCCCCAGGGAGGATGGGAAGGAAAGGACCTCCCACGTCTTGCCTCCTCCCCCCGCCCCCGCTCTGTCCCTGTTCCTTCTTGATGTCCCTGCTGTCCTGCTGTTGCTGCTGCTGCTGCTGCTCTCGCAGCTGCTGCTCTCGCTGCTTTCCTGTCACCCAGCCTCCCCTCCCCTCCTGCGTCATCCTCCCTGCCTCCCAGGTCTCCCCCCTCCCCTCTCCTGATGGGGGGTCCCTGGTCACCCAACTCGCCCAAGGCTCTCGCTCTCAGGGGCGAACATGTACCGTGGAACGGGGACCGTCTCGACGTCGCTTCCCAAGCGTTAGGTCGGGCGTGTCCTCCTACAGGCGGATGTTGGACGAAAAATAAGAACTAGTCAACACATGCTCAAACATTCAACACATGCTCAAACATAGTCAAACAATCGTCCCCTGACTATTTGACTATTCTTGAATATTCCTCCTATAGAGGGACATGCCCGACTGAACCCAAGCGTCAAGCCGCGAGCGCCCAGTAGTGTTACGTGCAATGCAACACGAACCATGGGCAGAGACATCGTGGAATAAGAGAAGCTGGCAGCAGCCTCCTGCTGCTGCTGGTGCTGCTGCTGCTGCTGCTGCTCCTCCTCCTCCTCCTCCTCCTCCTCCTCCTCCTCCTCCTCCTCCTAATAGAGGCCTCCTAGATGGGGTACGAGTAGATAGGGTCGGAGGATCGCGCCGCATCGCCAATGCATCGCTAATACATCGGCGATGCATCAGCGACGTCGGCGATGCATCGGCGACGTCGGCGTGGGGAAACACGGGCTCCACATCGAGCCGCATCGCCGATGCATCGGCGATGCGGCGCGATCCTCCGACCCCATCTACTCGGACCCCAGCTAGGAGGCCTAGACATACAATCATTCTCCCCGGGGGTGTCGAACCACTGAGCAGAAAACGTCGACAGCAAGCGCGCACGCTCGAGGATTTCGTCCCGATCAAGGTGGCACTGTGTGGCTGCCCGTCGGTCCCACTGCACCTCTCGAAACGGCTGCTCTTCAGTGGAGGGAAGAAGATTGGACGCCCATGAGGGGACGAGAGAGCGAGAGAGAGAGAGAGAGTCCAGGAGGGGCCCATCAAAGGGGAATGTGCCAGACCCCGAGGTGGGTTCCATCCCTGACCCAAGGGGCCCGACAATGCGCCCTCTGAAGCAACTCGTCGGAGTTGGCCTCAGCCTCCAAGCTGGCAGATCTGCCAAGGGCTCGCAGGTGTTCCTCGCCCAGCCAAAACCATTCGCACCCGTCCGCCATGCACAGGCTGCCATGCACGGGGGCTTGGACGGCTTTTCGGGCCCTCACTGGGACCTGCTCGACCGGGGTCCCACCGAAACGACCCTCGAATAAGAACCGAGCCCCCCGCCCAGGAAGCCGATGGGGCCCTAGCTTATGGGCCCTCTTGGGATGCACCAGCCTCGCGAACGTATCAGATTTCTTGTTGCCCGCACCTTTCAGGACTCCTGACCGTGGCTTAGCCCTCTGAGGCCCTTTGCTCGCTTGGGGATGGTGGCGTACTCGCCGCAGGTCGTGCAAGCAAAAGAGGGTCTGGACGACGCCTCGTGCACCAGGAATGCCCACAGAGTCTGGCCGCCAGCTGGCCACGGTTGACCTCCGCCAGGCTGCTCAGCTGCAGGTGAAGATGGCTCACATCCTCGGCCTCAGGCTCGATCTGGGACTCGAGGGGGGGCAGCCTGGGTCCCGTACACCAGGCTGCCATCGGGGACTACTAACTCGGTCTCCGAAGGTGCCTCAAGAGAGGTTATGGTCAGCGCGGGGGCCCCTAGTCTCGTAGATTTCCAGATCGCCATAGTGCGCCTCCGCCGGACCTGCGAATTTGAGGGGACGCTCTGGCGAGGGCTAACACACCCTTCAGGAGGATATCCTTGGCAAGCAATATGACTATTCTCGCGCCCCGCTTTGCTAGGGCGTCTGACTTGTGCTTGCCGAGCCTCTCGACCTCCGTGAGCTCTCCCTCGCGCACATCATTCATGGAAGCGTGTGCTGGTACTCTCTTGAAACAGGCCCCCTCTAAGCCCCCCACCTCGAGGGTTTCTTCCAGATGTGAATGGCACTGCTGGTCGCGCGGCGCCCGCTCCTGCAGCAACCGAATGTGCCTGCGCAGTCTGTACAAAGGGTGACTCCCCCCGTGAGAGACATGGTCACAATGTGGACGCAGGGACGATGGTTGGAGGGACGGCTCCAAGCCAACCTCCTAACAAGCAAATGGCACTGTTGTGAATCGCAACCCCGTCATCCTGCCACTCGGACCGACGGGAACTCAAAAGTCAAACCGAGCCGTCGCAGAACACGTGGCCCCCTTGGAGGAAGGAGGAGGAGGAGCAGGAGGAGGAGGAGGAGAAGGAACGGGACGATGAGGAAGGAAAGGAGGTGGAAGAGGCGGCGGAGGAGGCGAAGGACGGTGAAGGATGGGCAGAGGACTGGGATGAGGGTGCACAAGGAGGGAGGGGGATGCGAAGGCCGGGGATGAGGCGGAGGAGTGTAATGACAGGTGGGGAGTGGCAGGAGTGGCACGGTGACGGACAGGGGAGGAGGGGGATCAGGGGGATGAGAAGCCGTGAGTGGAACGAGGGGGAGCAAGGGAACAGCTCAGTGACAACTCCCGATCCGAATATTGCTTTGAAGACAGGGATGCACGTGCCTCAAGACATGGATGGGAACAAGACAACGCCAACGCGGGCCGAGCTCGACCAGCACAGGCCGAACCCCCCAGACAGCCTGCCTCGGCAAAGAGCCGAGCCAGCCCGCTGCGCCCTTCTCAGCGAGGCTCGCGACCAGCGACCACCTCATTCATGCGCCAGGCCTGCGCAAAGGATGCCCCGCCCTGACACGGACCGAGGGGGCATGGTCATATGGGCGCCTCAATTAGACAGTGAGCGCCCAAAAGCCTGCAGACAAGGTACTGGCGGGCGGGCTGGACAAGGTGGCCGCCGTGCTCAAACGTTTCCAACGCTTGCACTGGGCCAAGACTGTCGCACGTGAGGGCGAGAGCCTCGAGAGCATGCTAGAGGGCACCACTGCGCGCCCTACGGAGGATACCCCGTGCAGTCCAGCACGCACGCACGACAGATAGAGATGCAGCGGGGACGGCTGGCACCTCATGAAGGCTGCTCGAAGTCGGCCCGCGAGAGAGCGGTCTTGGCGAACCGTGGCACCACGCACATCTGACCCGCCCACCCTCCACCTCCTCAAGATGGTGAGAAAGCAGAGCGAGTTGCAGAGGGGCGACATCCCTACTCACAAAGCTGGGACGGGGGCTTCAGCTTGACCGGCCACCTTCTCAGCCAAATCCCCCCCTGCAGAGTGAAGACCCCGCGGTCCTCAGGAACCCTCGCGCCATGTCCGGACAAGCGGTCGACCCCCACTCCTGCCGGCCGCTGCAGGGTCAGGCGAAGAAGGCGGAGGAGGCAAGAGGCAGGGGCTGGAGGAGAAGGGGGCAGGGGGGAACGGAGGGGGACCCTCCTCCTCCTCCTCCTCCCTCCTCCTCCTCCTCCTCCTCCTCCTCCTCCTCCTCCTCCTCCTCCTCCTCCTCCTCCTCCTCCTCCTCCTCCTCCCCCCTCCCTCCTCCCTCCTCCCTCCTCCCTCCTCCTCCTCCCTCCGCCCCCCTCCACAATTACTCAATATGAATATACTCTCCCTCTTCCCCTGATGGCGTCCGGGTGATGGCCGCGCACCCTCCGCGTACTGTTTTTTTGCACACAGGATGCCCGGGAAATCCCGGGAAACGACTCTCGCTGAGGCGCCGGCGTCATTTTTTCCCAAAATGCTGCTCTCGCGCCGGCGTCATTTTTTCCCAAAATGCTGCTCTCGTTGAGGCGCCGGCCTCATTTCTGCTCCCGAATCCTTCCCCTGATGGCGTCCGGGTGATGGCCGCGCACCCTCCGCGTACTGTTTTTTTACACAGGATGCCCGGGAAATCCCGGGAAACGACTCTCGCTGAGGCGCCGGCGTCATTTTTTCCCAAAATGCTGCTCTCGTTGAGGCGCCGGCCTCATTTCTGCTCCCGAATCGTTCCGAATCGTGCTCCCGCTGCAGCGTGGGCCTCATTTTCGGATCGGTGTTTGGCCTCCGTCGTTCAGGATGGCGTTCTCGCCCCAGCGCGGGCCTTTTTCTCGCGCGCCCATCCGCCCGCCACCACCGCGCCGCACCGCCACCACCACCACCACCACCACCACCACCACCAACCACCACCACCACCACCACACCACCACCACACCACCACCACCAACCACCACCACACCATCACACCACATACACCAACCACCACCACCACCACAACCACCACCACCTACCACCAGCACCAGTACCACAACACCAGCACCACCACCACCACCCACCAGCACCACCACCACACCAACCACACATCACCACCACCACCACCACCACCACCACCACCACCACCACCACCACCACCACCACGACAACCACGCACACACGCACGCACGCACGCACGTGCACCACCACCCACTACGCACGCGCGCGCGGAGCCACAGGTCCGCTACGACACGCGTCCGCGGATAGAGAAAATCAGCGCCATGGTAAGGATGGGAGGGAGGGGTAGGACGTCAGATATGACGCGAGCGCACCTAGCTTGCCCCCACCCCCTCCCCCCCTTCCTCCTCCCTCCTCCCTCCTCCCCCCTCCCTCCTCCCTCCCTCCTCCCTCCCCCTCCTCCCTCCGCCCTAACCTAACATCCTCCCTCCTCCTTCCCCCCTACCATCCACCTCCTCATTATCCCCTCCCTCCCCTCCTCCCTACCTCCCCTTCCTCCCACCCCTCCCCCCTCCTCCCCCCCCCCCCCCCCCCCTTTTCCCCCCCCCCCCCCTCCATCCTCCATGCTCCTTCCTCCTTCACTCCCTCCTACCCTCCTCTGTCCTCCTCCTCCCTCCTACCATCCTAACCTCACTCCGAGAAGCCTACCATCCCTCCTCCCTCCTCACTCCCATTCTACCTCCTCCCTCCTCCCTCCCCCCTCCACGCCTCCTCCCTCCTCCCTCCTCTCTCCTCTTTCCTCCTCCCTCCCTCCTCCCTCCTCCCACTCCTACCCTCCCCCCCACCCCTTCCTCCATCCTCCCGTCCTCCCTGATCCCTCACCCACCTTCCTCTCCTCCTCCCTCCCTCCTCCCTCTCCCTCCCCCGTCCTCCCTCCCGACCCTGCCTCCCTGCCCCTCTTGTCCCTCCTCCCTGCTCCCTCCTCCCTCCTCCTCCTCCCTCCTCCTCCCTCCTGCTCCTGCCCCGCCTCCCCTCTTCCCTCCTCCCTCCCTCCGCCCTCCGCCCTCCGCCCCCCCCCTTGCGTAGCCAGTTTGGCTCAAGATGCCAGGTTCCCCAGGGGGCCAAACGGATACCGCTAGTCCGCGGCTTGACGACGACCAGTTTCGCCTTTCCTATGGGAGTTGGGCAGCCACAGTCAGTTCCTCCTTCACGCCTCCCTGCGCTCGATTGGGATGCTATGGCAAGGCGTGGAACACCTGCGCGGCGTGCAACCAGTGGTCGTAAAATTGGCGCATCGTGCAGAACGGCTACGTTTGCCACCATTCCAGCAGCCCCCATCGACATCTGGAAGAAGCCTGACCACAACAACAAGAAGCCGTCACGCAGCAGGGCCCCCTGGGCCGACAAACCTCCTCACGGCAAGCCCGACCAGTTCCTGGTTATCCTCGACCAGCTCCCAGCAGATCTGCGGGCATCGGAGCACAGACTGGCGCTTGCTAAGGAGATCGAGGACCGCACCAAGGCCCAACAGCTGGCCGCCCAGGCCAACCCCGAGGCTGTCCACCTGCGGATGGCCGAGGCGATCAGGGTCGCCAGCCAGGAGAAGGCCAAGCTCCAATCGCTGTCCGTCCGCCTCAGGGCCGCCCAGGAGTACCTTGAGCAGTGCAAGAAGGACCAGCTCGAGCAGGCCAGCATCTCCGTCGAGGCGGAGGCCGAGCGCGTGGAGGCCGCCCGCGCGTACGAGGCCACCACCATCCAGGGCGCCGACCCTGGCGCCACGCAGGACGGCCGGAGGGCGGTCTTCGCATTCGACGCAGGCCTCTTCGACGACCTCGACCAGTACGAGGATGAGGCCAAGAACTCCCTTCTCACTTGGAAAGAGGAGATCGAGCGCCACCAGCGGGAGATGGAGGAAGGCCAGCGTCGCCCCCAGGAGCTCCTGCAGACGGCGCGGGCCACGGTGGAGGCCCCAGCCAGCAAGAAGCGCAAGAACCCTGGGGGGGAGGGCGTCGCTGCCGACCCCACGCCCGCCGAGGCCAAGGCCAAGGCCTCCGCGGCCCAGGCGCCCAAGGGCCCCGCCAAGCCCACCCCGGAGCAGCAGAAGGCCGCCGCCGAGCAGGCGGCCGAGGCAGCCCTCGCCGCGGTCAACGCCGAGAGCGCGGCCCCCTCCTCCAGCGTGGCAGCGGCGGCCAAGGAGGTGGCTCGCAGGACTTCTGATCGCCCTAAGCCTCCCCCTGCCAAGGCCCCCGGTTCCATGCCAGGCGCAGGCGACGAGCGGGGGTAGCCCAGCCACCCTCTTCTTCGGCAACATCACCGCCTGGGGCCCCCAGGCGGCGAAGCATGTGCATGAGGAGCGCGACTGCTACAGCATCATGGCTTTGGTGGGGACCCACGTCGGCCCCGCAGCGACGCAGGACATGCGCATCCAGCTTCAGAAAGACTCGCGGAAGGCCTCGGCGGCCCCTGCCTTCAGAAAAGTACAACGGTTTCTCGGGAGGTGAGATGGTCATTGCCCGCAAACATATCGCGGCGACCACAATGGACCAGATGCGAAAGGATGTACAGGCCTCGGGGCGTCAGGACCCTTGCCGCGGTTTCGCTCCTCTAATATGGCATTTGAGGTTAGGTGATTTGCTCATATTGTCGTTGCACCTCTTACCTTCCATTTGTCTTCGGCACAAAAATCACGACACGCACACGGCCCTGGCGCCCCTCTTGTTTGCGAGCCAGGACGCCTGGAACATTGTTGGAGATTGGAACTTGGAGCCCGCTGAGTTATCACAATCGGATTGGCTTGAGAAGCTGGGAGGTGAGATCGCCCTCCCCACAGGCACCCGCGCTACGTGCTCACAGGGGGCAGGGAAGCATGCACGATTATGCTGTAGTCAAGAAGGGCACTGCGCACCTTTACTCCATTCATCCTGCTTTTGCTGTCCCTTGGTCTCCTCATTGTGGATTGCACATCGGTGCCAGGCAGACTTCGGATGATTGGTGGCATGCAGCGCCGTTGCTTCCTCGATCTTTACCAGTCGCGCGCAGACCCAAGTTGGCCCCCGACCCCGACAGTGAGAGATCCAGAGCGAGACGCGCCTGCACGCGAGACGATCCTCAGGAACCAGCTGGCCCCGACATGATGCCCGACCAGGAGCCCCTCAAGGTCCCCTTCTACGCCCCCGACGAGTCTTGGGTCGCTGCTTGGGAGCTGGCAAGAGGTATATGTGTCTTGGGAGACACGAGGTGCAGCCCCGCGCAGGACTCCCCGTACCTTCTCGAGGACCCACAGGGCCAGCAGCAACTCAACTATGAATACAGTCTTTGGGTCACGGCTATGGAGAGGGCTCTCTTCGGCTTGGAGACTCACCATGATCCGTTTATCCAGAGGCCGTCGTAAGGGCTTCTCTATGGGACGCAAGCGGCCAAAGCCGACCCCTGGAAGGGCCCACCTGCGTGACGACCCCGCTGAGCGTTGGGCCAAGTTTGGGGCGCTTCTGGACCGCTACTGTATCCTTACCAGCAAGGGCTCTGACCCTGCCCAGCTCCCTTGCATCCTTGCCGGCTGCAGGCGCACCACCCCGCTCATCCTGGGACAGGACGACGCCCAGTATTTCGGTAAGAACTCGCTTAGTGACCGCACGGAGTGGAGCAGATTCGTGGATGACTTTCTTGCAGCAACATTGTTGCCCGACACCGCAGCTTGGGTGAGGGATGGTTGGAGCCCGAAGGTCATAGAGTCTGAGCGGCAAGAAGAGAAGTCGGATTTGGATGGAGGCATTCGCAGGTTGATTTCGCGTACTCCGCATTTCCAATGCCATCCGCACACCGACATCCCATGTGGGCTCAATCATGACTTGGTTCAAGCCGCCCCCGAGGTTGGCGGCGCTGCATCGGACGCTGGTTCAACGGGCTTGACGCGCACCTCTTCGCCGAGCCAGATACTAACCACTCCGAGGTCAGTTTCGCCGTCGCAGTTGGTTTCACGTTCGCGCTCTTCTCCAATTGGGCCCTCGTCTTCACTGATTTCGGGCGCGAGCTCCACTGCACCTGAGGACGTGGAGACCACCCTGGGCTTGCAGCACCCCGCGGGACCAGTGTTCGGAAGAGCGGCAGCGGCGACACGCTCACCGCGTGCTGGACTCCACGGGGCAGACTCGCCCA